TTTTGCAATCCTTGTGCACGCGCTGAATTGCATCAGCAAAAGCGCGCGCGAAAACTGTGTTCGGCCACCTCAATGAGCACAACAATGGCTGTGTACGTGCGTTATAATTCTTGGTATATTTCTTTGTCGTCCTCTGCAAAACAACAACGTGAGATGACCAAATTCTGCGTTGTCTGGAGAACCTGAACGACAACGGCTAATTTTTTAAATTTATATTCCGAATTAACAATGTGTTCCATATTCAGTTTCGAGGTAATTTTGATAGTGAAAAAAAAATTAAATGACTTCAGGTAAAATATAAAATCATTTTTCAATCGGCGTTGTCATCGGCGTCGCCGTCGTGGTTTCTTGAACTCCCTAATTTGCATCAGAATGAAATTTATCAACAGCCTGTTGAAGGTCATTCAAGGTCACCCAGATTGGTCAGGGGAGTAAATAGTTGTAGTCCAAAACAGCCAGAATTGAGCATTTGCTCTTTTTCTCTTGGAAAAACCGTTTCGGTAGTATCTCAAATTCAAGTGTATCATATTTAAAGAAGGTACAAATAATAAAGAAATTTCCTACTTGTGTTGTTGGCTCCTTTGGGAATCACATGATTGATTTGCATCATAATATAAAAGAAAATACAAGATTGCACTGAAGGTCATTCAAGGTCACCTAAATTGGACACCAGCATATTAAATCTGGAGTTCAAATATTGCAGCATAGAATTTTTCTTCCACAGCTGTGTACGTAACGATTTCAATCACCACTGCAATCTTAAAAACTGTACAGCATGAAAAACATTTTCCCCTGCTCACATAAATACTCTTTTTGAACTACTGGTATAGTTAAAAATTTTATCACAAAATTTCGTTTTGGATTCCTTCAAATATCCGGATTGGATAATACAACTCGGAAAACGTAATGAATGTCTCGGCAAAGATTTGCCAATTTATATTTTACCAGCGCAATTCGCGATTGTCCACANCCGTCCTCTGCAAAACAACAACGTGAAATGACCAAATTCTGCGTTGTCTGGAGAACGTGAACCACGACGGCTAATTGTTTAAATTTTTATTTCTAATTTATCGATGTGTCCCAGATTCAGTTTCATGGTAGCTTTGACAGTGATAAACAAACTAAATGACTTTAGTGTACCGCGAGATTCGTAGGTAAAATATAAAATCATTTTTCAATCGACGTTGTCCTCGGCGTCGCCGTCGTGGTTTCTTAAACTCCCTAATTTGCATCAGAATGAAATTATCAACACCCTGTTGAAGGTCATTCAAGGTCACCCAGATTGGTCAGGGGAGTAGAAAGTTGTAGTCCAAAACAGCAAGAATTGAGCATTTTATCTTTTTCTCTTGAAAAAACTTTTCCGAAGTTTTTCGAATGTATCATATTTAAAGAAGGTATAAAAAAAATAAGGATTTGGTCGAAATTTCTTACTTGTGTTGTTGGCTCCTTTGGGAATCACATGATTAATTTGCATCATAATATTAAATAAAATACAACATTGCACTGAAGGTCATTCAAGGTCACCTAAATTGGACACTAGCATATTAAATCTGGAGTTCAAATATTGCGGAATAGAATGTTTCTTCCACAGTGCACGTAACGATTTCAATCACCACTGCATTCTTAGAAACTGTATGGTATGAAAAACATTTTCCCCTGTTCACATAAATACTCTTTTTGAACTACTGGTATAGTTTCAAATTTTGTTACAAAATTTCTTTTTGGATTCCTTCAATTATCCGGATTGGATAATACAACTCGGAAAACTTAATGAATGACTCGGCAAAGATTTGCCAATTTATATTTTACCAGCGCAATTCGCGATTGTCCACATGTAGATCTGTTCGGTACGCCAATGGCTCTAAAACGGGCTCAAGCTAACTATGCAATGATTCGATTGCAAAATAGAAATACGAAAAACTAGCCGTCGTCATTCGCGTTCCTCAGTCTACGCAGAACTTGGTCATTTCACGTTGT